GTGTGTGTGTGTGTGTGTGTGTGTGTGTGTGTGTGTGTGTGTGTGTGTGTGTGTGTGTGTGTGTGTGTGTGTCAGGGCATCCTTGGTCTCTATAAAGGCATGGGGGCGCCCCTGGCAGGTGTGGCTCCTATGATGGCCATCAGTTTCTTTGGGTTTGGTCTTGGAAAACAGCTCCAACAGACGGCTTCTGGAAAACCGCTCATGTTAGTTCAAACACACACACACACACACACACACACACACACCTTCAGAGAGCTGTGCATAAATGAATGCTGCAAACATCGAACTGAAGCAACACTGTGAAGATGAGTGGAATAAAACTCCACAGTGACGTGACAGACTCATGAAGTCACACAGGAAACAGTTGCTTCAGCTCATTGCTGTTAAAGCTGCTGAATCACGGGGTGCTCTTACAGCTTCTGCTTTTTGGCTTCATTTTTGTTTAAGAGTGAGTTGGTGTGAAGTCTCATGTGTTGTTGTTCATCTGAGGCTGAATTGATCCAATGTTAAGACCTGCTTAACACCTTAGAAGTGAAAGAGAGCGCACTTTCTCTTTAGCCCCGTCTGTGTTTGTAGGCTGGAGCAGACCTGTTACACATCCAGCTGTTTTTAAAAGAGGCTCAACATCAGTAATGTGTAACTATCACAGCTAAAAGGCTAGATCCAATCATTAAACGTCACCTTAACCTTCAAACACTCCTCCAAAGCTTACACACTGTCGCTTGTGTGTTTCTCTATATATAACTCTCGCCCTGCCTCCCTTCCTTCTGTTGTCATTCGTTCATTTGAAGCAGCACGCCCCCTTCACACCCCCGTCCTGTTACCCTGACGTACATATGAAATGTTAAGCATGAGTTGGCGATCACTGGTAGCTTCTGTCTCACCTCTGAAGACTTTATAGCAACACAGTCAGCGTGTCTGTAGTTAAGTGAGCAGAACTACAGTATCCTGTGTTCAGAGAGGACCTGATATCCTTTGTTTCCTGGCACTGATGTTCCACTGGTGGCCATAGTTTTAATACTGAGCTCAGTGTGTCTACAGTACTTTTAATTAATTTTTACATTTTATTATTTAATTAAAGACCCACTGAGATTTAAAATCTCAGCACTAAAATACGTTGCACATAAAATTTGAGAAATTACGAAACATTATTGATCCAATAACGAGATGACTTCAGTTCAGGCTTCAAACTGCTCTAAACACTCAGTTTGTCAGTTTCTTTTCTACTCTTGGATCTGTATGATGTCATAGGTAGCAGTCTCATTTTTGGTCTAGAAGCCCCACCCACCTTTCAATCCAACCAATCAGAAAGCTATTTCAAGAAGAGAAGCCCTAATCCACCCATCATAGCGATCTGATCTCTGAATCTTCATGTATTGTTGTAAGAATGTTTTAAAGCTGCTCTTAAAGATGCTCATGTGTGGAAGTGTGTCCAAATACCCTCAGGTTTCCCCGTCAACACCCTACTGATGTGCAGCTGACTCACAGGCGCAGCAACAAGAAACTGCTCTTTGCAGACTAACTGGTGCAAATATTGCATCTGCAGCTACAGAGGCAGATGTTTCCCTCAGCTGCTGGTGGAGATTCAAAGCGAGCGAATATTCAAAAGATCCTGAATTGAATTTGAAAGAATTCTGCAGCTGTGCAGAGATAGTTGTAGAAGCAGATGTTCCAGAGGGAAACAGCTGTTTCAAATACGTATAAGATGCTGTTGGTCCTGCTGACCAGGGAAACGAAAAATAATATTAATCTGGGTCATGGTTCATGATAACTGCCTGGAAGAGTACCCAGCTGTTACTGAGGTGGCTGCCTGGGAGTGAGTCTGACTTCTACACAGCTGAACTTCCATCACCTGCTCTGTTCAGGTACCATCAGATATTCCTGTCCGGCTGTCTGGCAGGAGTCTTCACTACAGTGATAGTAGCTCCAGGAGAGAGGATCAAATGCTTGCTACAGGTAAGTGTGTGTGTGTGTGTGTGTGTGTGTGTGTGTGTGCGTGTGTGTGTGTGTGTGTGTGTGTGCGTGTGCGCGCGTTCAGGTTCCTGTGATATAATTAGAATCCAAAGTA